CTTTAAACAGAGGTGGAAGAAGCTAAGCTTCACACAACCAGGCACACTGTACCAGAGCTTTCCACAGCTTTGCTGCCACGTGCAAGGCTGCTGCAGACACCTCCAGAAGCTGAACTCACCACGCCACTGGAGAGAAGGCCACGAGGATGTCCGTACTTGGCTATGTGCGGCAGCGAGCCACCCAGACAAGTGACAAGGCGCTCTCAGGTCCCCCCCCCCCCCCTTCCTCTCAGGGCCCTGCATTTCCCTGGAGACTCCCCAGCAAAGCCTCAGCTGCGGCCACACCGCCTGCTCGCCCCCTCCCCCAGCCTGGCAGGCAGGGAGGAGCCGTGCAAGCCGTGCCACCTGCCAACTCGAGAGGCCAGCTTATAGCAACCCCCCCCCCAAATACACACACACACACACACAACCTTCATCCGCCCCCCCCCCCCCCCAGCGGCTTCACCCCCACCACCACAACCCCCCCGGCCGCCGTTGGGCGCTCGGGCCCGGTCCCCGCCGCTCCTCGGCGTGCCCGGTGCGGCCCCTCACCCCCACAACGCCTCGCCGTGAGGGGAGCGAGCCGCGACCCCCCCCACACACACTCACACACCGCCCCCCGCCGCCTCACCGTCTCCTCGGGGTCGATGTCGATGCGGAAGGTCTGCTGCTGCAGCGTCTTCAGCGTGATCTGCATGGCGGCGGCGGGCCGCCCGGCAGCCGAGCCGAGCCGAGCCGAGCCGAGCCGAGCCTTCCCCCTCCTCCTCCTCCTCCTCCCCTGGCGGAGGAGCGGCGTGAGGCGGCGCTAACGGCTGCGAGCGGCGGTTGAACGCCGTTGGGGCGGGGGGGGGATAGGGGGGGTAACGGTAACCGGGGGGCGGGGGGCGCCGCGGCCGAGGCGGGAGGGAGGGAGGGAGGGAGGGAGCGGGGCGGAGTGCGCCTGCGCAGTGTGTTGCTGGGAAGATCGGGGGGGAGGGAGCGGGGAGGGCGTTGCGCGTGCGCAGTTGGCCCGGCTGGGTGGTGCCGGGGTTTGCCCGCCGCGGGTGGCGCATGCGCGGTGGGTGGCGGCGGTTGGCGGCGGCGGTTGGCGTGAGGAGAACGGGCGGCGTCGTGTGCGTGAGGGGGCGGTGGAGGATGGCGCCTGCTCCCTGGGCTGCGCTGTCCTCAGAAGAGCGGGCTGGGTCTTCTCTCCGCAGGTGTTACTGCCGCTGTTTGTGAGGTGTTAGTGAGGCTTTCCAGAAGTTTCCGTCGTCTTGTCAGCGTTAGCCCCCCACCTTAACTTCGTCCCCGCGCGCGCAGACCCCCAGCCCGGGTGAGCGGATCCCTCCCAGTGGTGGCAAGAAAGGGACGGTGCAGTGCCTGAACTCTGCCAGCGCCACTTTTAATGGTTACTGCTTCCATGCCACGGGCTGTTAATCTGTTTCCCTAATGTTCCTCAGGCAGTGAAGAGAACCCAGCCACAAGGAATGCTTAAAGTTGAGGCAGCTACACAGGTAAACAGAGGTAACGGCCCTGATCTCTCTGAGGCAATTGGCTCCAGGGCAAACACATTCTGGGCAGGGTGAGCAGGGAGGACCCCTCACCGCTCTTTTGCAGCAGTTTTTCAGCTTGTAACCTGCTCGCAAAGAGCCCAGCCATGGTATTCACCCCGCAGAAAGCCATGGCCTCCGTACCTCTCATGGCCTCTCCAGCCCCAGCTAGCGACGTGGCGACCCAGATGGAGGTCTCGGGGAAACGCAGCCATCCTGCTCTTGGGCTGCAGGCTGTGCCCGAGTCTTCTGTCAGTGTCTGACAGCAGTAGCGCTGGGTATGCCTGTGGGAGATGTGCCCAGGCTGAAGAATTGCTCAGCCTGGTGGCTGAGCTTTGCGAGGAGGTGAGTAGGCTCAGGAGCATCAGGGAATCAGAGAGGCAAATTGACTGGTAGAAGCATACTTTACCTTCTCTAAGACGAACCCTCAAACCTGCCACAGAACAAATGTCTCCTGCTACACAGAGACAAAAGTTTCTTCATCCCACCAGGCAGCAGAAGGGGACCTAGGCCAAGAGGGGCAATGGAAGCAGGTTTCTGTTCAGCATGGTAGGTGAGCCCTCTCCCTGCCCACCTCACCTGCCCATCTACCCTTATATAACAGGTATGAGGCTCTAGAACTTGACAGTCAAAACAACATTGTAGATGAAAGCCTGTCCCAGTTGGAGAGGGTGCCTAAGGCAAGGCAACCTACCCCCTGCATTTCTACATCTGTCAATAAAGAAAGAAGGGTTATCATCATGAGAGACTCCCTTCTGAAAGGGTCAGAGGGCCCAATATGCCCACCAGACCCAACCCACGCGGAAGTCTTGCCTCCCTGGGGCTCGGGTGAGAGACATTGCTAAGAAAGTCACTCGCCTGGTACAGCCCACTGACTACTAGCCGTTACTGGTTTTTCAGGCTGGTAATGATGGGGTAGCAAGGAGAAGTCCAAGAGTGATCAAAACAGACTTCAGGGCTTTAGGGCAACTACTTAAAGGTTCAGGGGTACAGTTTGTGTTTGCCTCTGGCCTTCCGATAGGGGGGATCAGTGTTGACAGGCACACTTGGTGCATCAAAATGTGACTTTGAGACTGGTGCCATCAGTGAAACTTTGGGTTTGTTGATCATGGGAGGGTCTATGTGATACCAGGCCTGCTGGCACCAGATGGGATTCACCTCTCTCAGAGGGGGAAAAGGATTTTGGCCCAGCAGTTAGTGGGGCTGATAGATAGGGCTTTAAACTAGAGTCAAAAGGGGAAAGGGATGAAACCAGGCCTGCCGGTGTTGAGCTAAGGGATACGTACTAGAATCAGCGGGACTGTGGGCTAGGGAGGTCCTTTGGTCTGATCCATCTGGTGCTATGTCCAATGAAGCACATTTGAAGTGCTCCTATGCAAACACATGCAGGATGAGGAATAAAGTGGTTGAGCAAGAAGTCTTGGCCCAGTCCCACAGCTACGACATCACTGGCATACGCGGAACATGGTGGGATGAGTCCTGTGACTGGTGTGTTGCAAGGGATGGTTACAGGCTCCTCAGGAGGGACAGGCAGGGCAGGCGAGGCGGTGGGGCAGCGTTGTATGTAAAGGAGGGGCTGGACTGTGTGCAGCTTGCTGTTGGTGATGGCAAAGTTGAGAGCCTCCTGGTAAGGCTTAAGGGACAAACAAATAAAGGGGATGTCATCGTGGCAGTCTGTTACAGACCACCTGGCCAGCATGACAACACTGATGAATTAGTCTTCGAGGAACTAAGAAATGCCTCGAGATCAACTGCCCTTGTCCTTATGGGGGACTTCAAGTTGCCAGACATCAACTGGAATTACCACATGGTCAGCCCAAGCGTGTCCAGGAGGTTCCTAAAGCACCTCTCTGATACCTTCTTGGTGCAGGTGCTAAGGGAGGCAAGTAGGAAAGGTGCCCTCCTAGAGCTGTTGCTGGAGAACAGAGAGGGTCTTGTGGGAGACGTGGCAATTGGTGGCTGTCTTGGTTATAGTGACCATGGAGTGGTTGAGCTTAAAATTTTTGGTGACAGAAGGAAAACTGCCACCCAAACTTCAGCCCTGCATATGGGGAGAGCAGACCACAGGCTGCTCAGGGAACTAGTTAGCAAGGTGCATCAGGACTGATCAGTCTTTAGGCCCTGCCTCCTAAAAGTACAGGATCAGGCAATTCCAAAATATCACGAGTCAAGCAAGCGATACAGAAAGCTGTCTTGGCTGACCAGGGATCTTCTACTGGAGCTTAGGCATAAAAAGAAAGTGTATGGCTGCTGGAAGCAGGGTCAGGCAACGTGGAAGGAATACAGGGACACTGTTCGCACTTGCAAGGAGAAAATTTGTGTGGCCAAAGCCCAACTAGAGTTGAAGCTGGCCATGTCTGTGGGAGACAATAAAAAGTTTTTTTTTCAGATATGTGAACCGAAAAAGGAGGACCAAAAAAAACATAGGTCCGCTACTTGTTGGGGATGGTTACCTCACAGACAAGGACACAGGCAAAGCAGAGACATTTAATGCCTTCTTTGCCTCTGTCTTTAACACCGATGGTGGGCTTCGGGACCCCCGGTGCCCTGAGATGGAGGACCGTGATGATGGGAATGACAAACTCCCAACTCACCCTGAACATGTGCAGGATTTGCAGCTCCACCTGGATCCATACAGGTCCATGGGTGCAGATGGAATTCATCCCAGAGTGCTTAGAGAGCTGGCTGACATCATCACTGTGCCAAGCCTGCTGGAGTTTAAGAAGCATTTGGACTTAGTCACATGGTCTAAACTTTTGGGTAGAGCTGTGTGGTGCCAGGAGTTGGATTCAGTGATCCTTATGGGTCCCTTCCAACTCAGGATATTCTATGATTCTATAATTTCTTAGAGCTGTTTCCATCAGTATGTATAGGGCATTACAAAGCATTTCCGTGGTAACCATGGCTGTCTTTTCTGGCGAAAGAGGATGCAAATACTTGGTGAACATGGTAGTGTAATGTAATTGAACCCCAAATTTCTGGTTGTTATACAATGCTTTGAGAAGTTCTACTTGGCTGCTTTGTTAGTGTAATTTTTTTTCAACAAAAATCGTAGTTTAATTCGTTACCACAGTAAACTTGGCTCCACAGTAATTTCTTATGGGAAGCACAGCAGAGCAGAGGCCAGCCAGGCTGCATTGCAGTGCAAAGGAAAAGGGGGAGACACCTCTCCCTCCTGTGGAGTATGAATGTGTACATGTGTTACATGCACAGGTGGTGGTGCTGCTGCTGTCGTCATCCACCTCAGGCTCCGACACGCAGCTGCTAGCCAGCCAAAGCCTCTTAGGGCTTTCGCAATCAAAAAGAAACTGCTGACTGTTGCTAGTAGGAATCCAGTATTCTTGGCAGCACTGAGTAACTTGCTTGCATTGCAAGGAGAGCCATTCAAAAGTAGAGGCGTGAGATGAAATACCACTTGCTATTTTTTGCATGGCTGTTTACAACCAAAAAGACACTGAGTGCACACTTTCACTATTGCCTTGACACCAGATCTAGTTACATAATAATCTAATAATTATATAATAACGTAAAAGGGATTTTTAGTTTCAACTTCTCATTCAGCAGCCCAATCTATGTTGTGTAGAGCTTTGTGAGAAAATTTACTTTGTGCTGCAGAGTTGTATTGGTTTCACTACTCTTTCCTACTCAGAATATATCAAAAGTAAACTACTCATATTTTCATTTTTGTGGTTACTGGTTGTAGTGTGAAACAGTTCTGCGCAGTTTGTGGTGGGGCAAGGGTTCGTTTACATGTAGGCTGTTCAGTTCTGCTCTGACAGCTTGTGAGAGCCTTAACATTACTGGGAAGCAGCTCCAAAGGCTGTGAACTGCTAAGGATGAAGTTTTTCGTGACTGTTTATTTGAGCTTTGAGCAAAGAGAACGAAGGAAAAAAGCTGTGATTTTTGTCCCCTGGCTGAATCATACAGGAACTTAGGACAACTCATTCTGTGGTGGGTAATTGTCCCGTGTTCAAACTGGCATATCACACTTATCAAACTTTTTGTGCTGACTTGGTTGGCATGCAAGCCTCTTCTTTGCAAATAACAAAGCTCATATTGATTAGAAAGAGATGTAAAATGGAGCCTAAAAGTTAGAAAGAGATTTTGGTGGCAAATGGAAACAGTGATTATTTTTTTGTTTTTCAAAACTGGATTTTCTTTTCCAAGTAACTTGATCTCCACCATATGGTTTTGTCCTTCTCAGTTCTCTTCTGTTGCCGGTGATTCCCTAGTAATTACTGTGATGTTACTCTTTCATGTCTCCCAGATGGAGGTATATCGTTTTCATGTCTACCAAGTTACTAAGTGAAACCAAAATATGTTAGGGGAGATAATTGGAAAGTATTTGTGTCTCCAGTATACCTTTACCTACAGTCAAATTTGTTTACATAAGCCCATCGCATCTGGAAGCTGAAAAGATATGTACATGTAAGCCCCTGCAGAGACAGAGATGTTAGTCACTGCTGTCCCTTTCTGACTGGAACAGCTATACAAAGCTTAGGGTCTTGCTGGTATTTGTCTGACTGCATATACACGATGCAGAGCCTGAACTAGCTAGCAGCTGGCATCTGTGATTTCCCAGGTCTTTCTCCATCATGTTACATTTAGTGGAAAAAGAATTTGGCAGCTGAGACAGTAAACAGGACTGATACAAACCTACATACTTTAAGAGTGTGTGCAAGGTCCTGATTCTCTGAGCTACTGGCGGCCCAATAAAAAAGTATCACCATTGCTGTTGACAGACCACAGCTAGCTCCTGCTAGCTTTGTCAGGCCTAAGGAGTAGGGCCTGTTAAGCAACTTGTTATCAGAACCTGCTTTGGGAAAAGAAGCTTTGTAGTGAGTGTCTCATGTTACAGTGTGGAGTTTAAGGCAGTAGCAGAGGCCTTGAAAACATGGATGTAGTCTGAAAGAGGACGTCCAAGGATCTAAAAAAAATCACTTACATGCAGTTACCAGTCAGGATATACGGCCCTGAGCTAAGAAAAACTGCTGTAAGTATCATAAAGAGGAAAAAAAAATAAAAAAGAAGGAAGAAGCTAAGCAGAAGAAAGGCTGAGCAACAGGATAACATACCTGACAACCTGGGGAAGTAACACCTTCAAACAGTGCACAGCATGAGTTCCAGCAGGCAGAGGCCTAAGGCTAAGAACTTGCTTAGAGAGTCAAAAATCTTAGGGTAAGATCTCACCACAGGGTGTGCTACACACAGCAGTCCTAAGCTGTCAGCATACTTCTGGCTTCAAGGACCCTGACTGTTACAGATCTTTAGGCACAACAGCATTATCCAGCACTGTGCAAATTGAGATCAGTGTGAGTACCTCCATGTGTTTTCACCTCAAATTCTGTGTATTTCACCTTTTTAACTGCTAAAAAGTCCCTATTGCACATTACTGCAGTCTAGCTGGTTACTCTTGGTAAAAGGCACCGTGTTTCCTCTTGGACACATATGAACAGATACTTTTATCAGTCCCTGATGCACAGCCTGGTAAAACAGTGCATTCAGTCTCTGCAATGATTTGCATTAAGTACCTAGACCCTGTTGCCTGGGTCATCACGCTGTCATAGATAACTGCATTTTATTGAGGCTGTCAATCATTATTTACATTACCATAATTTTTACAAGTCCTGGAGTAGGTGAACCATTACTTAGATTCCAGTTTGCAGGAATTGGTACAGCATAAATTAATTTACCCTTAATCTAATTTTACATGTGTTCTGGAGGTTTATTTATCTCCTGGTGGCAGCGTACTTCTTTTGCAGCAGCAATGATTTTGATGTTTCCTTGAGAGGCTTCTACTTTAGTACCCATGAAGCTGCTTCTAACCTTCCACAGTCACTCAGTTCCACTCATTTATTCTAAAGACAGCACTGAACCTGCTTCAGTGTTTGTCACAGTAGTGAAGCGCAGCTGTTCAGGTTAACTCAAGTTGTTAGACCATGAGGTAATAGGCAGTGGCCGAGGAAGCATTGGTAACTCTCAGCAACCTCTTAAGTTGCTACCAGCCACAGCCAGAAGAGGATCTGAATGTGACTTGTTTGGCCTTATCAGTGCCCTCTCACACATGGGTGCCTCAAGGTCTGAAAAAGCTATCAAAAGGGACCATAGCCTTCAGACTGAGAAATCCCACTCCAAAGCAGTGGTACTGCTTGAATGAAAGATATGATTCGTGCGTGTTTTCAGCACCACACCCACAACCATGGAAATTCCCATTAGACTTTCCATCAGCGCTGGGATACCACAGATGTTAGCACTGGAGCACGCACAGAAGCAGCTGTAGTTCATACATGCTAACATGTGGGTAGTACGAGATCAAAAGGAAGCCTAGCCTTTAGTATTACATGGGGATTTAAATTTCATGTAAGCAGTGATTCATACTTGAGGGTCTTTTAATTTGAAAGCAATTTGTTTTTTGTTGTTAACCTTTTAGATTGATGGGTGCTCAAATAGCTGACAAGAATATTGGGAATTCACTGTAGCACAACAGCATGGCAAGTGCATTAGTCTATCTCCATGACAGGCTTATATATTTATTACACTAATTATGTGGGTGTAATAATTGCATTAGGAATGTCTCAATGATATTTTCCATGTATAAAATCACTACCTAGCACGTGGAAGCTGACAAAAGACTTCTCAGCTGATTGAAATCCACAAGTTTGCCGTAAACATAACATAATTTTTCTCACTCGGTACGAAAACCTGTGATTTTTTTTTCTTTATTGAGTTTCAGCTGCAGTAAATACAGCGAGTGTATTAAGTTCCAAATTTGAAATCATTGTTAATTCATCTTACCCCATTTATTCAGGATGCAAGGGGTGAGGGGAGAAGTCACTTCAGGGAGTGCCTGCAAGGCATGCTGCCTCTGAAAGCTATTCCTAGGGCATTGCTTCCAACAGTCCAGCTTCACGCCAGCACTGTGCCTGCAGTTAGAATGTAATCTCTTCATATATAGTATTTGTTTTTGTTTACAGGCTTTCCTGTGGTCATATCAGTGTCACTTTGCTGCTCCTGGATATGAGGTTTGCCAAGAAAGGCTGTGTGGGATCTAGCAGTTGAATTCCAGGCTGCATACCACTTGATGCCCAAAGCATTTTAAAGCAAGTATCGTCTTTCTGGCTTGTAACAACCACAGCTAGTGGCTGTGGAAGTTTATCCCACCAGTATCAGTGCGCAGAAGAGACTATTGACTGGACATCAAAATTAAACTCTGTGCATCTTTGTATGCAGAAAGACTACTTGTCGATAAAGAGAGGGAGGCTTTGAATTCTACATTCTTCAAGAAAGTTTATGTGGAAGTAAATGAAACCTTTTAACCATTAATAGTTTATTTAATCAGTATTTTCTTTTGGAGCACTAGGCAATTGAAAGGGAAGGAAATAAGAATGATTTGGACATGACAAATGCCAGTGTGTGTCTCTGAGGACAGTTAGCTGATGGCTGAGGCTGTTAGGAGGAAGGGTTATTCTCGCTGTAGGGAGGTTTTACAGCGCTTCAGAGTACAGACTCTTTGCCAGCTATTTTAGTATTTAGACTTACTTTCAACTTCTGTCCTGTCTTTGTCCCTGTCTGTGCTGTATTAACAAGCACAAATGGAAGCCAGAAGCTGCGTGTTGGCCTTCCGTAGTTCAGCAGAGCTGCTGTGAAAAGGCTAGACATCTGAATGCTTCCAAAACAAGACCAATTATTGCATGAGACATTAGAATGCCAAATAATGTGTATACACAAATAATGTGTACACAAATAATGCAGCCCATTGCTATTTCTGCAGTCAGACAATATCACAGTAAGGGTCTTCCCCGCTTCAGGGCTGGACTAAGCAGTTGTGGAATGGCTTGCACTACAAAAAGCTCCTAGGGAAATGACATCAGAAATTGGCACCAATTAATCTAGAGTGTTGATTCCAAGAATAATATTTATCTGAAAAATACTGAATCAAATCATGCAGGTCTAACTGGGCCTACTATGAATAAATTAGACAGTTTATTTTTGTATGAGTCATTAATCATATTACAGTCATCACTGTGGTTATCTGAAAGTATTTTAATTTAATCAAAATACAGTTAAAACTCATTTAAACAAATTTGGCTTTAATTGTCCTGCCTCACACACAGATTAATCTTTTCTAGCATGGTGTGAAGAATTAGACACCAACATAGATATTTTTTCGTACATATCTGACTATGGATTTATGCATTTGTTGGTTTTGAGCATGCACTTTACAGCAGTTTGCTTCTATCCTTACTTTAGGATAAAAGAGAACAGTATGCCATGCTCTGTGGCTTCCGTGACAGTGTGCATAGCTCGTACAGGCCACCTGCTGTGGTGTAACGTAACTGCTGCAGTGCATTGCTTTCCTGGCATATGCATAACCTAACAGCTGGAGGGTGTGAGCCCTCTGGATTCATCAGGAAATGGCTTTTATGTGCACCTACTCAGTACATTTCAAGCCATTTGTAAAATAATGCTAACTCCTAGGTCACAGAGACCACACCATCACTGCTGTTTGCAGGGGCATGTGTGGTTTCACTTCTGAACTTCTGATCAGAGTGCGGTCAAGAACAAATTCAGACCCTAATGCACTGAGCTTTGTTCAGCCAGGATTTGAAAACCTCCAAGGACAGAGACCCCACAGCCTCTCTGACTCCTGCTACTGTGCTTAATTATTCCCACAGTCATTTTTTCTTCTTTCTGTCTATGCTGAACCACTCTAGTTGCAGGCAATGTCACTGTCTCTTGCCCTCCTAACAGGCACTGCTGGGAAGAGCCCATCCCCATCTCCTTGATCCTCGATCATCCGTAGGCAAGGGATGTTGTCTGGTGCCCCGAAGCCTTCTCTGCTGCAGAAGAGCTGGACCTCATAGGGTTTGCAGAGCCCGGTTAAGGCATCATGGGTGCTGAGCAAAAGAGGGATCATTCCTGCCGCCCCCAGGGAGAGATACAGGGGAAAATCCTTGAGAGCAAGCCTAGGGCTGCTTTTGAACTGGCATGGGAAAAAACATGGGAGCCCAGAGGGCTGGCCAGCAGTGCTAGAGTGTGTGGAGAGCTTGTGGGACTGTCACACTGCCTCAAAGGCAGGCGTGAGGTTTTATTGAACTCTTGCTGAATGGATTTGGAGATGTGTCGTGGTTGGGGTGAACTGATGGTGCTCTGGGAAAATACAGCCAAGGTTGCAGTGACTGCTGGGAAACCAATGCTGAACACAAGATTAATGCTGCAGTAGCTCTCAGTGCCCTTCCCAGAGCCATCGGAGCTTCTTCGGCGGCCCTGCGTCGTTCGGGCCGTCGGGAGACCCAGGACGAGCGCTCAGAGCAGCAGAGGTGAGCGCGCTGGGGACATCTTGTCCCGGGCCCTGGGCCCTGGGCAGCTGGAAGGGTTTCCTCCTTGAGGGAGCTGCACAACTCTTGCAGCCGGCCCCGGCTCGGCCCATGCCCATGGCCTCTTGTCTGCCTTTTGCAGCGTGAGTCCTGCTGCTGCAGCGCCGGTGAGAGGGAGCGGCTCGTCATCGCCACTTCTCCCCAGCTCACCTCAGCAGGTGGAGAGCATGGCCACGGAGCTGGACGCCCGCTGTCCCATCTGTCTGGACAGCCGGGTGAACCCCAGCTACGTGCTGCCATGCCTCCACCGCTTCTGCTTCGCCTGCATCCAGCGGTGGGCTGAGAGCAAGCCCGAGTGCCCCCTCTGCAAGCGCAGGGTGAGCTCCATCGTGCACTTGGTGCGGGCGGACAACAGCTTCAAGGAGCTCGTCATCCCACCACCTGCGGAGGCACCGCTCAGCGCCCACCTTAGACAGAGTGTTTTCATCCACTGTCAAGCTACAGCACTACAAGCAGAGGCTGCAAGCCTGCTGCCCAGGGCTCTTGTGGGTGGTCTCCAGTCCCACATCTTTGCATCCGTCTTCAGGGAGCACCCATCTTTATTTTAGCCCCTGCTACCCTGGCCGCACCAGGAGCTGGGGCAGATGTTTGGGGATAATCACCAGGAAGCATCTGGGGTTGAGAGACTTGTGTTTAACTTGAGCTTCTTTGGTCTGTCTGAGGAGCACCACATGCAGCTGCTGCAGCCTTGCTTGCAAAGGCACACAGCAGGTTTTGTTCGCCGGCTTATTACCATTGCCGTGGAGCAGTGCAATGAGAAGGCGCACCATGTGCTGCACAGCCATGCTGCTAGGAGACAGGAGGGCAGCTCTGCTGCTTCCCTGGAAGGGAATCCTGCCCCTGGAGTGGAGCCGTCCAGCAGCTTTGTTGTGTCCAGCACACGGGAGCTCCTCACCAGCTTCTCAAATGCCTTCCTGAGGATCCCAGCCATGTCCCCTCCACTTCCAGCCAGTGCAGTGAACCTACCCCTGTGAGGCCCTGTCGCAGGCAGAAGGACCAGCAGCAGAGCCTCATTACCACCCAGCAAGAGGCCACATCATCTACACTAGAAAGGTCCTCCAGAAGCTGGTGAAACAAGCTGGTCCACGGGGACCAGGAGGCTTTCCTTAGTAACCTAGAAGTAATGGGCACATAATAAAACAAAGGCATTAAAATTACCGTATCAGTATATGGCTGCCAAGGACAAAAGTGAAGATGAGTGCCATACAGCTCCACAGATCATCCCCTAGCCTTTAAAAATGGGTGCAACACTTGGCCATCTCTGGTCTTCGGTTCCTCCCCCACGCTTCACAACCTTCCAAAGATGAATGGCCTCACAGTGATACCAGGCAGCCCACTCGGCACCATCAGACACGTTCCATCGGTGCCAAGGGATTTGTATGGCTTAAGTTTTGCTGTTGGAGCAAATAACGCCCTACCTTGGGTTCCCAGTTTAGCCATACCAGCCCTCTGATACATTCGTTTGTTCATTTGTTTTCCTGAGCATCAGGATGCCCTGTTCTTGTTGGAGAAGATCCAAGTCATGATAGTCCTTTTGATCTTTATCCTTCAGAGCTGGCTCCCCTAGAGCTGTTCCACAGCTACCTCTTACCTGAAAAAGCCAAAGCTGTCCTTCCTGAGGCACAGGGAGTGTTTTGCTACTCTTGCAACTCACCTTCCTCACCCTCTACAGGATCTTGAATTCCTCTGTACTAGGGTTACTACAGTCAAAGCTGCTGTTGACAATCACAAGTCTGACCAGTTCCTCCATGCTCATGAGTTACAGATCCAAGATGGCATCACCCCAGGTTGGTGGATCCAGCGTCTGTCACCCCTACTCTCTCCAAAAATCACCCTGATAGATTTTCTGTTGCTGCAGATGCCAGGCAGGTTGAAGATTGCCAGGAGAACTAATGTCAGTGACTGGAGAGCAAGTCATGCCAGCAATATTGTACTTCTGTGTCCAGCACAGGTGTTCTAGCTCAAACTTAGCAACGGGGAATATAAGAAGGCAGTACCTGGAGAACCTTTCTCAGGGGTCAACAGGGGTCAAACATACTCCCTTAAAACATCAGAAAACAAAGTAAGGTGGGGTGTTCTGAAGTTTGGTTCATTGGTTGGATTTTGGTTTGTACAGTTTGTCATTATTGTTCAAGCAATAAAATACGTTCAGTCAGAAACTCTCTTCCTGTCTTACACATGAAGGTATTCTGATCAATTTAAACCCACTGGCTGTTGGGCTAGCGTGGCCTTCCAGCATTTCGGCATTCATACAGTATTCATGAACAGTGAGTACATGTAAATACACTAAGTACTTAAAGAGATGTAAGCATACCACTTCTCTTGCCTTTCATTTTGTGATTCCAAATATGCTGAACTTTTGTAGTTTTGCCTTCATTCCTCTGATTAGTTGTCCTTTCCCACACCTGCTCAAAATTGATTTAATCTTCCTTGGACTTGAACTGTACCTCACACAAAACCTCATTCACAATTCATGCCTTTTGTGGTGGTTTCCGCTGGGCAGCTGAGCTCCACCACAACTGCTCTCTCACTCCCCCTTCTCAGAGGGAACAGGGGAGAAAATATGATGAAAAGGACTCAGGGGTTGAGATAACTCAGAGATCTCAGAGCTCTGACACACAGAGATCACTCAGCAGTTATTGTCATGGGCAAAACAGACTCAGCACAGGGAGACTGAAGAAATTCATTATGTATTACTAACAATCGAGAGAAGTGAGAAACAAACTAAAAACACCTGCCTAACACCCACCCTCTTCTTCCTCCTCCCCCCTAAGCAGTGCGGGTGAATGGGGGCTGTGGTCAGTCCTGACTCTTTGCCTCCTCTGCGCCTTCATGGTCCCTCCCTGCCCCTGCTCCCCGTGGGGTCCCTCCTTCCCCAACAGAGACTGGGGGGGCTGCCCACAGGCAGCAACTCTCCAAGCACTGCTCCCACACGGCTCCGTCCCACGGGGTCCATCCATCCATCCCCCAGGAGCAAACTGCTCCAGCACGGGTCCCCCACGGGTGGGGGCAGCTCCCCCCAGACCCCCTGCTCCTGCGGGGGCTCCTCTCCACGGGCTGCAGCTCCGGCCCGGGGCCTGCTCCTGCGGGGGCTCTCCATGGGCCGCAGCCTCCTCCAGGCCACATCCACCTGCTCCAGCGGGGGCTCCTCCACCCATGGGGGGGCTTGCAGCGTGGAGATCTGCTCCATGGGGGACCCATGGGCTGCAGGGGGACAGCCTGCTCCACCAGGGGCCTCTCCCTGCACAGCCCGCAGGGGAACTGCTGCTGCCTGCCTGCCTGCAGCACCTCCTGCCCTCCTGCGGCCCTTCTCTTGGGAGCTGCAGGGCTGCTTCTCTCACGCTTTCACAATCCTCTCTCCTAGCTGCTGTTGCACAGCAGTATTTTCCCCCCTTCCTTAATCTGCTCCCCCGAAGCCCACCCAGCAGCACTCCCTGCCTCGGCTCTGGCCAGCAGCAGCTCCTTTTTGGAGCCATCTGGAGCTGGCTCTGCTCTGATGCTGACAAGATGGGGCTGCATTCATTTCCAAACTGGCTGTCATAAAGGCCTTCACCTTTGCATTACATTGAGGCAGCGGTGATCTCAGCCTTGTTGTAGTTCTCTGCGTAATGTAGCTCCCAAAAGAGATCCCAAGGTCCAGAACAGACATGGAAATAACTGGGGGGTTGTAAGGAAAACAATTGTATTCCATCCTACAGCAACACCAGAGCTGTCTGGAGAGTTTAGGAGTCATCTGAATTTGGTTATTTGTGTTTGATCTGAACTAAGGAAGAAAGGACCAGTTACTAGAAAAGAATGCATGCCTGACAATGATACAACCAGATGGGCGGCTGTTTGATCTGGGTCTGTGGGTTTTGGATCTGTATGCTGTTGAGGAGATTGTTGGAATTGTGATTACAGAATAAAGAACCTCCAGAAAGTGCAGGACGCCAGTGCTGGATGGAGAGCACGGCTCACACTTTGACGCTTCCTGGGACTGCCTAGCACATTAACAGGTCTCGGCCCCAAATGGCTGTGCTTCAAAAAGGTTTCCCTCTCTCAGCATTTGCTGCTCTGCACTTCCTTTTCTTTCACTGGAGAGTCAGATCAATTGGTTGCTTTGCACTTGGACATGTTCCTTGGAAAGCTGCTTAAACTCTCTTCAAACCCTGGACTACCTGGGAATTGATTGCTTCCTCTAACTGGCACTGATGCTGTAGCTGGATCCCTCGAAATCCCATTTGACTGCTTCTGCTTCCTGAGCAGGTGACAGAAACTTTCACAAGCAGAGAGCAGAGAAGAAGGAGTTGGACTTCTGCATAGGGGAAATATTTGGAAGTTTTGAAGATGTTTCCCCTGCTCAGCTGCCAACCCTACGTTAACCAATCACCTGATCTTTTGCATTCCAGTGTGAGGAAGGTTTTAGCAATTCGTGTCAATAGAGAGCTTGAAGGGAAATGCGTTCCTTTCATACTTGTAAACTTTGATTCTTGCCCTATTCGGAAGACTGAGCCATTTATGACACCAGCAAAAGTCTCAAATCAGTTAGGAAGGAAAGTTAGTTCTGAAAATACTCAGTCACCTCTGTGCATGCCAAACCCTTAATGGCACTGTGCAAAACGCAGATTGCAGTGATGAATCGCGTTGTGGAATGAATGGCAACATACATATTTGGCTCCAGATCCAAAATGTCACTTATTTTGGCCATTTTATTTAGGGTAAGCACTCCCATCCCTCCCATTCCCTCCCTGGCCCATTCTTTACTTCCCACCAATACCACCCCTCCCTCCCTCCCCTCCCCTCCCCTCCCCTCCCCTCCCTCCCCCGCCCTCCTGCCACCTCCCCTCCCCTCCCCTAAACCCCTCCCCTAAAGACTCCCCTCCCCTAAACGCCCCTCCCCTAAACTCCCTCACCTAAACTCCCAACTCCCTCCCCTCCTACACTCCCCTAACTCCCTCCTCCCCTAAACTCCCTAAACTCCCCTCCTCCCCTAAACTCCCCTCCCCTAAACTCCCCTAAACTCCCCTCCCCTAAACTCCCCTCCCCTCCCTAAACTCCCTAAACTCCCCTCCCCTCCCCTAAACTCCCCAAACTCCTAAACTCCCCTCCCCTAAACTCCCTCCCCTAAACTCCCCTCCCTAACTCCCCTCCCCTCCCCTAAACTCCCCTAAACTCCCCTCCTCCCTCCCCTAAACTCCCCTCCCTCCCCTAAACTCCCCTCCCCTAAACTCCCCTAAACTCCCCTCCCCTAAACTCCCCTCCCCTCCCTAACTCCCCAAACTCCCCTCCCTCCCCTAAACTCCCCTCCCCTCCCCTAAACTCCCCTAACTCCCCTCCCTAACTCCCCTCCCCTAAACTCTCCCTCCCCTCCCCTCCCCTCCATCCCCTAAACTCCCCTCCCCTCCTCCTCTAAACTCCCCTACACTCCACTCCACCCACTCCACTCCCCTATGCTCCTCTACACTTCCCTCCTACACTCCCCTCCCTACACTATCCTCCCTACACTCCCCTCCCCTACACTCCCCTACACTCCCTTCCCTAGACTCCCCTCCCCTACACTCCCCTAAACTCCCCTCCCCTACATTCCCCACTACACTCCCCCAAACCCCCCTACACTACACTCCCCTGCACTCCCCTCCTCTATGCTCATCTCCCCTGCACTCCCCTCCCCTGCACTCCCCTCCCTACACTATCCTCCCCTACACTCCCCCCCTACACTCCCCTACACTCCCCTCACTATCCTACACTATCCCAACACTATCCTACACTAGCCTACTCTCCCACTCTCCCCTACAATGCCCTACTTCCCCTCCCTCACTATCCTACACTATCCCAACACTATCCCCTGCCCTCTCCCCTCTCCCTACATCCCTCCCTCCCTTCCCTCCCTTTCCCTCCCCTTCCCTCCCCTTCCCTCCCTTCTTGTCCTTTTCTTTCCCCCTCTCTTCTCTTCTCCCCTCTTCTTCTCCCCTCTTCTCCTTCCTTTCACGGATCTGAACGCAGAAGGGGGAGAAGCGTAACTCCAGATCGCTTCAGTCGCTCTGGCAGCTTGTGTCACTGGCTGATCCATGGGAATCCATCAGCAGCAATCGGAAGCGTTCCAGCTGCTGTGGTACCAGTCAGGGAACAGTCTCAAACTGGGAAACGCTGACTTCCTTCCGCGGCTCAGACAGGTGACTTTCAATTTCGCCCTGGCTGGCTTGTGTCCCCTTGCTCTGTCCCCACCTACACTGCAGTTTGGTTTAGAAGCAGCAGCACGGTTTGGAAGTAGTTCCACTACTTCCATTTTCGGTGATTTGGCTTGGCTTGCCAAGTGGTTTCTGTCAACAGAACACAAGAAGGAGATTTTGGTTAGAAACAACTACATGAGGAGCTCCTTTCCACATGGGCAATGAATATTTATCCTTTCCTAATGGAGACTACAGTGTAAGAGATAAGGACAGATCATTCCGAGAGATTTTTCAGAGAATTGTCTCTTGGGGGTGCTTAGTCCAGAGGACCAGAGTTAATCTGTCCAAAGTACACCATGGAAGCACTCTGAATTACTTCCTAACAGAAGCATGGCCTTACCATGTCTGATACGACTTTGGCTGGTTTCAGTGTTCTTCTTCACTTAATAAATACCTAAATTAAGTACTGTCCTATCAAGCAAATACCTTATTCTCTTGATATCTCTGA